ATCTTTAACCTTTCTTTTTTCTTTCCTGATAATAAGATCAGTTTCTCCATTAACAGTTTTAGTGAAAATTGGCCTAACTTAAATTTTTCTGAGCTAGTTCTCATCTGAGTAGTAGTGAGAATTTGGCTCCTTGTTCATACTTCTGAAAAACAAGAAACACTATGATTTTATTTTTTATTTCTACAGCTTTTCATAACTTTTAAAAAATGTAATTGCAATGGGTCTATGCAACACAAAATAAAAACCTTCAGTATACTTATGAAAGGACAGTAAGTTAAGTATTATTGCTATTCAAGAACAAAAGTCTAAAATATACAGGGAAATATATAAATAAAATAATGAGATCAGAATATTTCCCTTAAAATATGTAATATTTGAAGAGTGGTGATTTGATACTATTTTGCTTTTTTTGATACTATTTTGTTCGTTAAGTTTAAAACAATAAGAAATCCAAATTGACATAAAAACAAAACTAGATGCTGAAGATGTTTCTTTATTTCTGTAATATCATTAAATCAACAAATTCTGGCAATAAATATGGTTTCCAAAAAGTGCTCTTTATAGGAACTGTAAAAAGAATATGGAAAAAAGCCAAAGGAATCTTTGTATTTACCATTTCAAGCTTTAATTACAAACTTCAATATTATAAATTAAGAAATTAACCAAAGCTTATCTACAAACAAAATTGATCCTAGAAGTTCTAAAATAATAGTGGTAGGAACATTCTACATTAATAAATACATATTTATGAAATTTGACACTAATTTAAAGCAAAGTTTCATACTAATAAAAAGGGATTATTTACTTAACCTATTTTAAACGTACCTAGACAGGTGTCTTTCTGGGTTCGTGGTTGTTTTCTTCTGAGAAGGCGTTCATAAAGGACCTGCATGTTGGCCTTGGCTAGTTACAAGGATTGCACACAGCACTAGTTACTAAAACTCCTTTTACAACAAAGTTTACTAGAATTTTCCAACTTGTTATTAGTAGACTTAGTATTGATCTGACAGTGCAGTTAGATTAGAACACTAAAGCAGAGTCTTTCAGTTAGTTAAGTAGCTTAGTAGAATTGCAAATGATGTACATTCAAGTTTATACTGCTTTGTTCTTTTTTCTATTTAAATGTATGCACCATTCAACATTTCATAATCCAATATTATTTTTATGTTTTAATTTCTTAGACTCAGAATTTCAGAGCTGGCAGGGGTCTCGGAGATGAGCTAGATCAACCCCTGCTTTTACAAGTGTAGATACCAGGGCCCAGAAAGATTACATGATTTGCCAAAGCCTAGATTCCAGAACTTGTGACTCCCATTTCCAGTAAGAGCTCCTTGCACCAAACCAATATTTAACATGTCATCAAAAAAAAAAAAAAAAATGTACATCATTCAGCTAGGAGAAAAGAAAATGGCAAAAGCAGAAAGGAATTCAAGGCATTATTTTAAAAGAGGGAATAAAGTTTAGATACATTTTTTTAAAGCATGGTAGAGTTTAAGACTTTTAAGTATACACTTATTTGAAAACTCAAGAAAAATATCAAATAGTAAAAAGAAATGCAATAAACAGCCTCTACTCAAGAACTAGTTTAGGGGCACCTGGGTGGCACAGTCAGTTAAGTGTCCAACTCTTGGTTTTGGCTCAGGTCATGATCTCAGGGTCGTGACACTGAGCCCCGTGTCAGGCTCCACGCTCGGCGCAGACTCTGCCTGAGACTCTCTCCCCCTCCCTTTGCCCCTGTCCTCTGCCTTTGCTAAAATAAACAAATAAATCTTAAAAAGAAAAAAAACTACTTTATATCCACTTACTAAAACTGGTGAATATAATATTTAGTCAACAATGTTTTATGGAAGTATTATCTAGTGCTTGTAATTTAATTTTGTTAGGATAAAAATAATGTTAATAATTCAGAATATGTAATTGTTTTATTTTAAATAGTTAATAGTATTTTTAGATGTTCCCTAGAAGATGCATTCAAGAATAAATTAAAATTTTTTAATAGAAAATATAAATATGAAAATTTTAAGAACATAAAATGCTACCAATATTTATTGAAGATGAGTCTTTTTTTTTTTTTTTAAGATTTTATTTACTTATCTGAGACACAGAGATACAGAGAGAGAGAGGAGAGAGCCTGAGCAGGGAGAGGCAGAGGGAGAAGGAGAAGCAGGCTCCTTGCTGAGCCAGGAGCCCGATGTGGGGCTCGATCCCACGACCCTGGAATCATGACCTGAGCTGAAGGCAGACGCTTAACCATCTGAGCCTCCCAGGCACCCTGAAGATGAGTCTTGATTTTAAAAATTCCTAGGAACCTATAATAAGCTTTGTGTTGATGCCTATATGTTTTTCAAGTAACAACAAAAACTGTATTGTGCTATTTCATTCATTCATTTATTCAACAAATATATTTTGAGTAAGTAGGATTGTGAGGTATTAATAATTTTATTCTATCACTATTATTTGCTTATTTAAGACTAAAGTCTAGGTTTGCTTTAGAATTTGGTTTCTGATAAGATACCTTAATCAAATAATTTGGAATAAAGTTTATATTCATTTAGTAACTCCTGGAATTAAATATAAGGAAGGGCTTTTAATTATGATATTTTCTATAATGTATAAGGTCAAACTAATTTATATAACATAAAATCCATCCTTAACTATGAGAAAATTTAAAACCTGACATATAATTGAATTATCATGCCGAATTAGATTAATAAACTAGTAATAAAGTGCTAATACTGTGTAAGTATTTGAAATAAATCTGTGCTTTGAAGAGATGTTTGTTTTAATTACTAATTATATATTTTACCAGTAAACATTCCTTTTAGAGAGAAATATTTTTTCTAAGTTAAAATGTGATTCATGTGTTTTTTATTCTCAAATATTACATGTTAAATGTATTTGAAAATTACATGCAAATAGACGTCTTCCTTATACAGGCATTTATTGGCCCACCTCATATACGACTCTTTCTATTAGAACCAGAAGAAGTCCCATCTCTCTAGGTGAGGTTCTCCTGTTCATCCCAATGCTGGACTGATCACTTATTAAAGGAAGAGGAGCAGTCAGAGCTCTTTGAAGAGAGAGACCCTATTTTTTCCTCAGCATCTAGCTCAGTGCCTAACAATGTAGGTGCCCATTAAAATCCCAAGGGAATCACACCATTAAGAAGTCTCACTCCTACAGCTACTTTATACCCTCTGCCTTTTGGATGTCTTTATCTTTCCTCTCTAGTCACGCACATCTGGTTCCCTTTAATCACCTTATCTTTCAAATGAAATCCACTTTGTATATGCAGTCCCAAAGTTAGTCAAGTGACAGAAATGGCTGCAAACATGCACTCTAAACTACAAGATAATGCCTCTATGAATTCTACTACATCACTCAACATCAAAACTATTAACAAATTTATCATACATTGGCTTCTCAGTTTCACACTTCTTTTTATAATTCTGTTTTTCAGGTACATGGTATTGTCCTTCATTAATATTGGGGTTTAACAGTTTGGTAGTTTGGCCATTAACCAAAATTTATAATGTGATTCTAAGATGTGTTGGAGTTCCAAAAAAACAAATTAAAAAATATGTGGAGCATAATTTTTCCATTAACTGAGGACAGTGATAGCCTAAATTAGTTCTATCCTACAAACATTTCTTTCATGTTCCTAAGGGATTTTCCTAAGGGAAATAGATTTTCCTAAGGGAAATAGAAGGATTTTAAGTATACAAAGTAGCAAGGAAGAAAAGTATTTCAGAGAACAGTAATCAAAAGGGTTCCACCATTTTTGTCTTGGGAAAGACTACATGAGCAAAAAAGAATGAATTTTCCTATTGCTTGTACCTCTGTATATACATTGGGATACTTGAACTAAGTATTCCAAATAGTCAACTGAGTGATATCTGTTAATCAAGTCCACTGGAGTAGCTGCTGATAGGAAGTGCACAATATCCAGCATTTTCTCACAGCTGAATTTAAGCAAGGTACAAATCATTACATGTCCTTACAATTCTTTTCTATCACCAAATAGGCAATTATAAAAAATAGGCTAATTACTCCCAAACCCAAGAATTATTTTCAATAACAGTGACTATTTTTAAGAGTGCATCAATATTGTTAAAAGACTGGAATCCTTGAGAAACAAAGAAATAAACAACACTGATTAAGTAAAATTTAAAACTAATTCTTGATTTATTCAAGTATATAATGATAAAATTAATTTATTCTGAAGATATAAAATGTGCTTATTATGATAAGCTACTAGCTGATGTTTGAAAAGAAAAGCTTATTAAACTATTACAAAAGGTCTGAATAAAAACTTATTTTTGCTAATCCCAAAAATTTATCTTTTGCAAAATATGTACAAAAGCATTTTGCAAACTACAAATGGTATACAAAATCAAGGCAATAGGATTTTTTATTGTGTACTGTAACATATATGCAGATATTACTGCTGGATTAAAACCAAGATTGATTCTTTTAGCTATTTAAATAAATTTCAAAATGTTAAAACTGAGTAATGTTATTATTCTCTAAAGTGAAATAAAAGAACTAAGATCTGAGATCACTTAAAACCAAATGTATATAAAAATGTTCCAAGTACCTACAATCTGCTTAGACTGTTAAATATCTGGAAGCACAGATTTAGTTTATTTTCCCATGATTCTGTGATTCTGTAGATAATTACAACATTTGCTTTCTAGTATGCTTTCTGGTTATATTTTAACAGGAGCAGTATATTGACATATATTTTTGAAAAATCTATCAAAAGACTCATTCCAAACTTAGCACCAAGAAGTTATTTCTCAATATCATAAAAAAATTTTTTTAATTGCAGAAAGTAATTATCAAGAGTCAAAAAAGATGGAATTGAGAGAGAAGTAAAAGTGAAGCATACAAACATTATAGTTTTAGTACAGAGAAACTATGGCAAAGCTGCTAACTAGCAAAATGAGAATGAAGAGAAGACTTGGACTATAGGTTAGGTCTGGCTACTTTTAACATACCCAGTTCTAGTTTCTGACAAGAGGGAATCTCTTCTGTTACCGTAATGAAGTAGCTGTGCAATCCTTTGAAGGCTAGCAGCAAAGTGGCACAAAGTGTATAATGAAAATGATAGGCATGATGTAGGAAGGAGTCTGCAATGATGAAGCTGCAACCCTAAATAAAGAATAGATTTGGGATATAAAGTGTTAGTTACCAAAAATCTAAATATATTACACTTGAAACTTAGAAAAATAAAGGAAAAAATCCTAAGCATTTATTAATTAGTTATTCTAAAACATAAAATAATCAGCAATATTGTAGGGAGTTGCTCTTATTCATACAAGTAATTTAAGCATGCAAATATGACTCGAATAATTTCAATTACAGTGCGCTTTTAAAACAAGCAGATTAAATTATGGTTTTTGAAAATTTGAGATTCAAATTCCATTTGCGCTGGAGGGACAGATACTCTACTTTTACAGTGTAAGCCCCTTTCCTTCCAAGGGAATAGGTTGTACTTGTACTACAAGCTGGGTCTCAATTCTGGCAACTAATCTTAACAAGCTCCTTTGGAGTGATTCTACCAGTTCTGTTAAGGGAGTAAGAGGTGATAGTAACAAGTTTAAAAAGACACTGGCTGTCAAAGATCTCTACTCATTAAACCTGGTAAATCTTTAAGTATCAGGGTATTTTTCATAATAAACAACGGGAACCAACCAATTTAATTAAGATCATATTTAACCAGATCTGTAAGTTGCTGAGCTCAAACAATTAATAAATAAAATAAACATCACATTCACAGGTGAAACAGTTAAAAACACTTCATTTAAAATAAGAGGGAAAAAAGGATATATAAATGTATCAGTTCTTACATCTGGTGATAACTGTTTCGTGTAGTTAATACCAAAGACCACACTTTCAAGAGTAGGAATCACAGAATCTTTGTTTTGTGCTGGTGCATTTCTATTTAACCAAGTAGTCTTCACAGGGCGAGGAAAGCTGGAGGAATAAGTATTACATTAGTATTGTCGTAATAGTCTATTTGAATGTTAAATGTTTACAAAAGAAAATCTTATAAGAATAAAGAGCAAGGGCTTTGCAAGGTTATAATTTCTAAAGTATTCTTAAATTTTTCCTTTAAATAACTGGAATAATTATGAAAAGACAATGAATATATAAAAAACTAAGACTAGATGCCTAAGATAACCTCTCCATAACTGAGCTTCAGGAAGTCTCAAAGAATTCTAAAGATAAAACTGTGGGATCCAGAGTAGCTAAATGACAAATGAGGACCAAGCTTTAATTTGGAAATACTGGACTGTCAGAACTGGTACCAAGGTTATAAACTTGACAATCATATATGGATTCTACTTACAGAAATAAAGAGCTTCCCACATAAATGTAGAAAAAGAAAAATTACTAAAACTACTTGTTTTCTATTTCTCAAAAAGAAGGTATTTCCTTTCTCTTTACTACAAGTCTATGAACTCTATTAAGACAATCTTCAAGTAGTTCAAGGTACTGTCTCAATCCCATATTATACAAACTACTGCTGTTAGTATCAACATTACACTCAATATACCAAAAATTCTATACAATAAGCATATTGTTTGAATGTTTAAAATCAGATACAATTTTGAGATAAAGTACTGACTAATTGTAAGTAGGCCAAAGCATTTGGACAGTTTGGCAGTTTGGCAAAAGGGAAAAGACAGGAAAGTAAATCAATTTTGCCATAAGCAGAAAGCAGTCTTCATTTGCAAAATCAATTTGCTTTGCAAAACTTAAATATCCAATATCCCAGCAAAGAAGGGAGGTGCAAGTCAACAGTAAATTACACTTACTACAATGTGTTTTTCAGAATTGAGTCATAAAAGTTGTACTTAAAGTTCAAATATAAAAACAGGTCATGTAAAAAAACAAGCAAAGAAAGAAGTCTTCTGTGGGGTTACACTTATTATAAATAATGGATTTAAGGTCTGTAGTTGGGTTGATCATAGAAATTGTTTTAAATAAAAACATTTAAAAAGATGATAATGGGGACGCCTGGGTGGCTCAGATGGTTGGGCGTCTGCCTTCGGCTCAGGTCGTGATCCCAGGGTCCTGGGATCAAGTCCCGCATCAGGCTCCCCGCTCCTTGGGAGCCTGCTTCTCCCTCTGCTTCTCTCTCTCTCTCTCCTTCTGTCTCTCATGAATGAATAAATAAAATCTTTAAAAAAAAAAATAAAAAGATGATAATGTAAAATATTTTTTCATTTTGTTTAGAAGAAAAAAAAATCCATCTATAATAAAACTTCAGGAAAAACTTGTCAAAGAATAGTGAGGAATGTTACCCTTAACATGACCCCTCTACCAGCATGCACCAGCAAAAAGCTCTTCTTTACCCTTTCCTTGCTTCCCTTCTCCAAACTCTCATTTACAGGCAAGGAAAAAGGCAGGGAAAGATACTGCTGCTTTCATGGCGAGGTTCTAGCCGCAAGAGAGGGGATGTGAAGGCCCGTGGCAGCTAGGTAAGCACAGCAACCTAGCTGCTGCAGCACCTCGCTGTCTTTCCCAGTCACTAACCAGAGCCAACAGTTAATCCTCTTGGCTTCTAATTCTGAGCCAAAAATGTCTTCTTCCAGTAGACGGTCTCTAGGAGATGAGCTGTCTTTTTCTCCTACTAGTCTGTGGCAAAAACTGCTGCATTGCAAGAGGAAGCACACATTTAACTCACTAGGATTAGTGATGTATATATCACTAACTCTAGTCCGGGCCTTAGAAAGCAACATGAATAACACGAGCCAACCTCTGTGAATTGTTTGTACACTTCTCAGAAGAGAAACTAAGCCAGTGTTATAAAGAAAAAGGAATGGATCAGACAGTTCAGTTACGATTCTTATTGAAATTACAAGAGATTCAGAAAACTCAAGAAATGTATTTTATCAATAAACTTCTAGCATTAAAACCTAACATGTAATTAAAAAAAAGTAACTGTATACTACTTACTTGAAAGTTTTATTTCAAAAAAGCCACTTTCTTATCAAAGAAGTTTCATTCAGTTATGTTATTACATATTAATGTATTCAATTAACATCTAAAATTTTTTTGAAGTTTATAATAAAATTATATAATAGGAACACTTGCTCGTACAAAAGTTATAGCAACCGAGAATAAGCTCTCAAAGGCTTACAAGGTAAGACAAAGATAGCAAAACAATCAGTTACATATCTAACTATAGAATAAGGAAAGCAAAGCAAGTCATTAGGAGAAAGACTTCTTCCTGGCCCTGTGCTCTCAAACCATGCAACAACACAATGGAAGAGGTTCTAACAGTTTTTAAAACAATGTAAGGATACGTGCCACAGGAAGCTGTTACTTGTTGGCAGTATATTAAATTGTATTGTTCTATAAATTCTGAGGGTAATTATACAGAATTACCTACTTAGTTTTTCTGATAAATCAGTTTAACATTATAACCCTGAAGCAGCACCCCAAGTATCAGTTGTTGGAATTGGAATTGACAAAAATTGTAGACAGTTCAGAAATCAAATTAATTTGGAGTCTTTTCATAAGTTACTGATTTTGAAAGTGTCCATCTGCTGCCCATACCACAAAAGGATGATATTATATTGTAAAAAACTGAAGAGCTTGAAATGTATTCTCACATAATGAAAGACAATCCATCTCCCTATGGAAGTGGGCAGAAAAAATAATTATCTTAATGCATTTATTATAATCTAGAATATTATGTACCTTTAAGCTAAAATGGTACATGTTATAGTTTAAAAACCTTATTAGTAAAGATCCACAAAATTGATTAATGACTTAGGAAACAAGAATTATTGTATAGCACAGATTTAAGAAAAAATTAGGTGATCCAGGCAAGAGACAAAGAAACAGAAAAAACTAATATACTTTTTCAGAGCATGAACATAGTATAGTATTGCTTAAAAACACAGGTACAGACTAAACAATGCTGTATGGTTATTTCCAGACTGCATTATTTTTCTTGATCCGTTTATTTGACAAAGATTGTTTTATATTTCTGTATTAAAAGAGTTATCAATCTAATGTTCCCATGCTCTTAAATGCTATTTTATTACTCTAGTATAAAATGAAAGCATTTATTTAATATTTATAAATTTAGAAATTCCTTATTACTTCAATTATCTTTATCAAAGTATATGTTTTCACTATAAAATAAAAGATAATACATTAATAAGGACCAGAGTATTGGTTAAATTTACCTTATTAGTGGCTGGTGTAGTGCAACCAATGATGCATGGACTGTAACGGACACAACAGAAAGGTGGAAATAATCAAACATAACATTAATATGATGATGAAGGCCTCTGTGGAGGCTAAAGTGCAGCTTCAATGTTCGGCTACTTATTAGTTGCAAGGCGTTCAGATCATCTGCCCTAGAAAAAGCAACATATTTGCATATACGTATGTATGGCATATTTAGTAAAGGCTAATATTTTACAGAGTAGTTTAAATTATCAAACGCTTAGTTACTTAATTACTTTTTTAAAACTTAAAATGAGAATAATTTTTAAAGCATCACATTTGCCTTAGACAAAAATGTGAACTATAATAAGGAAATAACCAGATCTTACCTTTAAGTTTTCTACCAGTCCATGACATAGACTGTTTTTTCACTAATGTCCCTATAAAATGAGTCCTTTTTGATAGTTTAGGAATTACTCCTATCTTTTACTAAATTTTATTCCATAGGGAATACTGTTCATTATAAGGTTGCAGTATAACATAGATCAAATCCTATAGTAATAAATCCCAAAAAGATAGTTAAAATTATTTTTCATTGTACAAAACTTTGTTATTAAGTGCTGCTCGAAAGCAAGCAACTAGTAGATATTTGATTACAGATAATCTGTTATTAGATTTATACATATAAAAAATTAAAACAATGTTATGAGAATGATTTCCAAGTGTGTTTGTGTGCATGTGTGTATGTATTTTAACCCATACATACATTATAAATACCTATAGTTAACAAACTACTTACTCATTTCAGCTTACTTCATTTACAAAATTCTGACTTGGTTTAAAATTGAATCCCTTAAGGAATTCTTTGTAATAAGCAAGTATTACAGAGGAGCAGTAGCTACCACATAAAAAATTCTTATTCCTCCCTGATGGTAAAGAGGACATCTCAAGTAGATGGTTCAAGAGGTAACTGCTTAGTCATTTATCCTACAAGTGTTATCTAAATTTATAAATAATTTTCAAGAAGTACTTCTACAAGTATGTTTGAAATGAGAAAAAAAAGTACAACAATAAAATTGTTAAATCTCTGATTCTTGTTTTAAATGAACACAAGCACAGTGTGTCCCTAAAATACATGACTGCATGTCCAGATGTGTGAACAAGTTCAGAGTAGCCAGTCCTAAAACTTCCTCAAGGGCTCTAGGAATTAATGAACTAGAAACAACTGCAAAGTATAAAGGTCATCAGTCTTGAAAACTCTCTAAATATCAAGAGTCCTGCCTAAAGATGGCATCACTCATACCATAAGAAAGATGGTCAGTGATACAGTGAAAGAGAGTTCAGTTATATTTAAATGTCTCATCATAGTGGTATTATATCAACAGTGGAGTTTCTAGAGTCTAGGAAATTGTTTCATATTTCTTCAACTTGTCTGATTTGCTAACTGGGGCTCATGGAATTGACATGGGTACAAAAGAGTAGGCCTAACTACTCTCATCAGACTCCACAATTAGAAGTAGTTCAAGTAAACAAGAAAGGGAGAGGCTAAATTCTAACAAGAAAATGGGGAATAGATAGCAGTTATGAGAAACTAAAGATTTTTAATTGTTTGACTAGCCTACTTACGAGTAATCTCCATCTGTGAAGTGTAGATCCAAGGATAACAAAAAATTCATTTCTTCAAGGGTTTCTTCAATCTGAAGAGAAATTACAATATAAGGTTTTCTGAATACTTACAGAAAGTTAGAAATATGCTTTGAGGCTCTACAAAAAATATTTATCTAAATATATATGAAGAAATGTTTACCTTTTTTTCATCCAACAACATTTTAACTTTGAAGATCATGACATCATTTAAAACAACCTCCTCATTTTTATATAGAATTTGAAACGTTTTACTGCAAATCAGAGAATCATGAACTGAAGCTGGAAAGGCTAAAGTCATACCTAAAACAGATAAGATATGTCACTGACAGGTAAAAAGGAAAAATATAATACCAGTAAATTAGTACTTTAAAATACTATAAGTTTGATTAATTACCCCAATGCCATTATCATTTTCTTTAACAGTATTAGAACATTTCTCAAAGTTTAACGATTTCTATATAAAAAATGAATAAGTACATGATAACCACTATAAAATTGTTGTACAATTTATTTTAATCTGAGAAGGTACATGAGGAAATCTCAAGGTAGATTTTTAAAAAAGATTTTATTTATTTATTTGAGAGAGAGAGCGCACAAGCACAGGGAGAGGGGCAGAGGGCCCAACCAATCCCAGGAGCCTGAGATCATGATCTGAGCTGAAGGCAGACGCTTAACCAGTTGAGCCACCCAGGCGCCCCTCAAGGTAGATATTTTAAAAGGAATAACTGATCTGTAAACCCAGAAGGAAGCAATTTAGTTTCCCATAGATGTACAGTGAAGCATTTGATTGGCCACTGTCCTGTTTGCTGAGTGGTAACCTCTAATCCCTTGGAATAAAGAATTTGTTTCGCTTTTGTCCCAATTCCTTGGAAGTGGCCTCTAAATCCTTAGAATTTCCCAGGACAGGAAACCACATGGGAGAACACCTAAGGCTGGGAGGGCGGGGGTGGTCATGGTCATGGTGGTAGTGGAGTTTATTCATGATGGGCCCAGACAGTTCATGGTAAGGAGATGACTAGGATGGGGGCTGGCCACACCAGACCAACTATGTGACTAGAAAAGTGGGGCTTGAGACACATGATGTAAGCCCAACCTCCAGTAAGAGGAAAGGGAGCTGGAGATTGAGTAATGATTCATCAGGTAAGCTTCCCTGATTGGCAATACTCCACATACAAACTTTCTGGGAAGGTAATGATTCCTGACTCCTTGGGGAGAGAACAACAGAAGCTTCACAAATCTGGGAACCTCCCAGACCTTGCCCTATGCATCTCTTCTTTTGGCTGGCTCTGTTATGTATCCCTTTGCTATAATAAAACCATAATAATAAGTAGAGTGCTTTCCCGAGTTGTGTGTTGTTCTAGTGACTTACCAAACCTGAAGGGTAATAAGAACCCTGAATTTGTAGCCATCTAATCAGAAATGTGGGTAGTTTGTGGACCCCTGAAGTGTGACCTTATGTCTGAAGTGAGTTCAGTCTTCTCGAAGACTGTGCCCTTTACCTGTAAAGATTGGTTTACCTCCATCCAGGTTGTTGGTATCAGGTCATTACAACCAGGTGGAATTTAAACATTTGGGCACCTCTACAGAGCAGGGAGCAGAGTGGGATGCCAGAGTCTAAACGGAATAAGGAGGTGTCCATATGGAGTAGCTGCCTTATGTCAGAGCCTGTGTAGGATGAAGAGGGCAATCCTGGCAGAGGGGTGACTTAGGGTGAGGTATTGGGAGCCCAAGCAAGATGAAAAGGGCGACCACATGGGAGAACACCTAAGGCTGCGGGGGGAGGGGGGGGCAATGCTGGAGCCCAAATTAGGTGAGGTTGTCCTTGCAGTGGGGCAGGCAGGGACAAGGCACAGGAGTCCAAAAAGGATGATGGTGGTGAGGGTGGGTGTCAGCAGTGGCAGCCTGATACACTCTCATGGAGGCAAAGTAAGGTGAGGCCAACATCCCCCAACATCCCTACAGTAGGAACTCCTGGCACAAAGACTTAGTACATTTAAGTGGGTTTGAGAAGAGTATCCACACAGAGAAGTAACCTGGCATGAGGTGCTGAAGCCCAGGAAGTGTAAGGAGAGCATCCTGAGGGAGAGGGAGCAGTGACAAGAGACTGGCATACATGAGAGACTGATCACATAAGAAAATATATTAAGGATAATGAGGGTCAGGTTTCTCACTGAAATCTTTCATAGAAAGGATATACACATATGGAAAGTAGATATAAATACAAAATGAATCCTGTGGTACTGGACTGGAATTAGAAATACTGATGTGAACTCATGGTATTTGCAGTATATTTAGATAAAGACAGGTGTGAATTTGTATATGCATGTGTAAATATATGTGTGTGTACATACATGTCCTCACTAGCTCTGTCCACTCAAAGGGCCTGAGAGCAACACAGCCACAAATATTGGTTTCATAATACTATTTTCCATTAAAGGAACAGAGCTTTTGGAGAAATGGTTGACTCTAGAGTTGGGCACAGATAGGACAAGAGAAGTCTGGATCATCTTTTCATACCAGAAAGTAAAGAAGTGCTAAAAGAATGAGGGGACACATCAAAAGGACATGGAAGCTAGCTTGAAGAGGTTACCCCTGGTCATACTGGGGATGAACGGAGCATCAAATAAATTATGATAGTAATAGATTGATATCCATTGAATAATATAGAAATTCTTAAGTCTGTATGGATGTACACATGAATGAATGAAAAAAAAAACAGATCTTTGAAAGGAAAAAGAGTAAGTTTACAGTGGAGTAGTCTGAGAAGACCATCAAATGATCCAAGTTAACATCATTACTAATGTGACAAATAAATGTACCACCCACTAGGATATAATGAGCAGAACATATAGTATCGTTTCGAAGATACTCTTGTCAAAGATGCATAACCTGAATCTAATCATGAGGAAACCACAGAGCAATGCAAATTGAAGGACATTCTACAAATTAAAAGGATTATAGTCTTTACCAGTTTCAGGGTCACAGAAGTAAAAAAAAAAGACTGAGGAACTGTTCCATAATGAAGGAGACTAAAGAGACATAACAACTAATTACCATGCATGATTTTGAACTAGATCATTCTTCTATAAATGACTGTACTGGGACAACTAGCAAAACTTGAATGGGTTGAGGATAGACGGTAGTAATGTATCAACATTAATTTCTTGATTTTATTGGGATTATGTAGGAGAATGTTACTGTTTGGAGGAAATAGATATTGAAGTATATGGGGATGATGGAGCATCATGTTGACAAATTACTCTTAAATGGTTCAAGAAAAAAATAATTTATACCACATGTACAATTTTTCCTAAGTTTGAGACAGTTCTCAAATATCTCAAAGGAAACCAAGTAGAAAGAAAACCAATTTGAAGTAGATCAGAAACTTAACTTCCATAATATTTCAGAGAAGAGCTGAGAAGGGGAAGAAATTTCCCTCAACGGAAAGTAGATTGTTTTTAAAGCACCCAGGTAATGTGAAATTAGAATCTGCTGCCTCAAAAACCACAAGTTTTTGCTACTGATTTCCTAAGGATGCTGCTCCAGCGTAGCCCTCTCAAGTGGGGGCTTCTACACTCCTACTACTACTGGACCTGGAGGTCCTTTATTCCTTACTGATGCTTTTAAACACCCTTGGTCTCTCCTTTCTAAAACCACCCTACCACCAGCTTTGAATCTCTTGGACAGTATCATTCACCGTCTCATTCATGTCTGCAGTCACTACAAACCCTGAAAGCCCTCATTTCTTGAAGGCTTTATTTCCTAACTCAAGGTCACTTTCTCCAAAACTACTCTAGCCATCACACCTCCTAGGTTCTCTTTCTCCTCTCCTTAAGTGTTCTTGCATTCTAGCCTCCCTTAGCTCCTCATTCCTATAGTCATTCCCTAGACTTTTACATTACCATTGACTGCAATCCCTCTGAATTTAAAGTTCAATCAATAGCCTCTCTCCAGCTTACTCTCTCTAATACCACAATCTTTTGACCCCATTTAATAGATCCCATGAATCCTACACTCTTTTTTGCAATCCCTGTACTTTCTCTCAAGATCTCCCTTTGCTCCTTACCCATCCTAAATTCCATACTTCATCATTATCACTCATCCTTGCATAGATCCCAATTTGCTTTCTCATATCTGGCTAGATAAATCTCAACTTTTATAAATCTAACTTCCTGCCCTGTACCCACATACATACTTGTACCCACAAGCTGAATGTAGCTGGGGAAAAATGCACAACTCTTCTGACTGTCTATACTTTAATTCATGATCACTAATCTTGAGTAGACCCTTGGTGCTGCTTAGCAATCATATTATATTTTCCAAATCCACTTTCTCTCCACATCCCTAGATGACTATTTTGTAAATTATTTTCTATCCTTCAGTCTCAACTGAGAACCCTGGTTCTTATTAAATGAGAAAATAATCAGAGAAATTCTTTAAGCTCCATTACTACAACTACCTACAGATATACCTGGACAAATTCCCTATTTCTCTGTTCCATTTTCTGGCAAAACTCCTTAAAAGATTTTTTGGTATTCAATGTTTATAATTCATCCCCTCTCATTCTGCCTTTAGTCCATTTTTGTGACAGCCAGTTTCCAAGATGGCTCCCAGTCTCACCTCCTGGTACCACATCCTTGTACAATTCCTCCAACAGAGTCCCAGGGTTGATTTGTGTGAATACAGCAGAAGTAACAGACTTCTTGAGAGACCTTGAGCCAGAGGCAAGCAGCTAAACAACTTCTGGATTCCAGACCCAAAGAAACTATGACATACTGTTTGTTTTAAATCAAGTTTGGGGGTAAATTCTTACACAACAATAATTAATTCACACGTTAAATAGGTTTTGGCACATGTAACTGCTCTTAGTAAGACCACTAATGTCTTCTGCTTTGCTAAATACAACAGTCAATTCTCAGACCTCATCTTACTTGACTTATAATCAGCATCAGAAATAGTTACACATATTCTCACTCTTGAAACACTTCTTTAATTTGGCTACCTGGACATTACACTGTTTTTGCTCCTATGTCATGGCCTATCCCTTTTTAATAATTTTTTAGTCAACTTCATTGTCTCTACCAATAAGCTATATCCAATATTTACTGAGAGAGAAGGCTAGAAATATTCCAATAGAAAAAGGGAACACTGCCATTAGAAATGCCCTAAAAGGGATTCTAACACAGGAATAAGAAACTGTGTACAAAATACATTATTCCAAATTGCTTTGGAAAGACAACAGTTAACCTTCTGTGAAAATTACCTATATCCTCAATTAATATCAATACTTAAAGCTTTTA